TTAAAACACACATGTACGAATAGAAGAACTAATAAATCATAGAATTAGATTATAATCAAAAGAAAATAGAAAAGTCGGAGCTTGAAACAAGAAGTGTGATATTATTCTAGGCACTGATATCAATTAGGTGTGGCTTACGGTGGAGGCAGGCGCAGTCTGATGGACGTGGTGGTGGTGAGATTTTATGTTTATTTATTTCGACGTTTCGACGTTTTTGTTTAAACATTCTTTTGTACAAAAATATATTTAGGCTAATAGGATATATTTCTGAAGCACCATTCTGGCTTTTTTATAGATAAAGAATTATTCTTGGCCAAATTATTATGAGCCAGTGCAATGATTCGATTCAATGACATTATCTAACACTATGCTATTAATGTAGGATACATCAACACACAACTATGATGTTCAAAATGTATTATTAGTTGATTATATTTATTTAGAGCTTGTTTGGAATGGATTTTTGGAGGAAGAATTGATTTTGAATAGTGATATGATGGGAAATGTGTGGTTGAAAAAGAAGAAAAAATTATTGATGTGATTAAAAATATTATTTTATTGCAGAATGTGTGGTTGAAAATGAGAATTGATTTACTGTAGAAAAATCTAAATCCCTCCCAAACAAGGCCTTAATATGATCATATACAATTATTTGGTGACACATATGTTTACAAGTAAAGAGGCATTGGCTGATTGTAAAACTACTAGTAAGAGACATAACATGATTGTTGTGATGAAAAAGTCCGACTTAGGCCAAGTTGGGAGAAAACCAAGAATTCATTTCGCATGTGAAAGATATGGTTCGTATAGGTAGAGTACCAATAAAGAAAATGAAAAAAGGAAGAGATGTAGAGCTAGTGGAACAAAAAAGTGTGGATGTCCGTTCTATTCGAATGGAAGAAAATTGATAAATGGTGATTATTGACTATTGAAAGTGAAATGTGGTAGACATAATCATGATATTGCCCAAAACCTTGAAGAACATTCATATGTTGGGAGACTAACTGAGAAAGAGACTTCAATTTTAGTAGACACGTCAAAGAATCACATGAGACCGAAGGAAATATTATACACATTGAAACAAAATGATGACACTAATGCCAGTACATTGAGGCATGTTACAATGCATGTCAGAGATTTAGGCTCAAAGAACAAGCTGAAAGGACACAAATGAAAACTAATGAATAGGTTTGTTGAGAATAAGTACATAGAGTGGCACCGTATCTCTAAGGAGACAAATATAGTTAGAGATTTGTTCTTGGCACATCCATATTCAATAAATTTGTTACCTGCTTTTCCTCGTGTGATTATTATGGATTGCACGTATAAGATCGCCTATTATTGTTGGAGATAGTACGTGTCACTTCTACTGATTTAATATTTTCGATTGCTTTTGCATACTTGGGAAAAGAATGGGAAAATTACACATGGGCTTCGGATGTGTTATACGACAAACGCATGGATTACCGTGTGCCCATGAGATTTCAAAGTACAAGATAGAATCTCGACCCATTCTTTTATCAAGAGTAGACTCTTGCTGGAAAAAACTTGATCTAGTTTCTCTTGACAAAGGTAACTCATCTGAGATTAATTGTGCACCATTATTTGAAATGATTGAATAACACTACCGAAATATTAATGATCATGTGAAGGTAGAAATCCTACAAAAATTGAAAGAGATTGCTAGTTTGAGTTCTACATCATTACTTGAGCCACAAGTCAAAATTAAGACAAAGGGTCGTCCGTCTTTAAAGATAGTATATCAACTCGTCGAGACCCTTCGTATTTTGAGTTGGTGCTATTTGGACAAGACAATATGTTACAACAATTGGATAGTTCGATTACGCCTTTAAGTCAGCCTACATTATCCAGCCAACCTCCAATTCGACAAAAACAAAAGGTGTATCGAGCACATGGATCAAAGTCCATAATTTTTTTTTTTTTGACTCATTTCCTATTCGTTTGAGACTTACATGGTGTGAAAGATGTAGCCTTATATGGAAATTGTGGTTTTCGGGGTGTGGCTAATATTATAGATATAGGTGAAGAGAATTAGCCTTGGTCATAAAAGACCTAATAAAATAGCTTGAATCCCACTTTGATGATTATTCTAGACTCTATGTGTTGATATGGTCCATGAGTTGATTCATTCTAGGAATGTCAATGTGGCTCACCGACTCCAGTGGTAGGTGGCTTGGCTTTGCCTGGCTCGGGCACTGGCATGGGCTCAGCTCATGTGGCTCGATGAGCCACACAGGCTGGCACATCGAGCAGAGCCTAAAAAATAAAAAATAAAAAGTAACTTACAAAACATTAAAAAAAAAAAGAAACAAGTAGATGCCACAAGCCGGGCTCGCTAAGGCTCCAGCCAAAAGCTCGGGTCGAGCCTAATTTTTTTGGTCAAGCTTTTGTTCGGCTAAATTTCAAAGTAAACGCGTTTTCCATTTTTATGTTTTAAGAAACAATTTTCAGACTCACAAAAAAAAATGCATTTTTAGCAATTTCAAAACAGAGACTCAAAACACAAAATATAAAATGAATTCAAAACTCAAAATTGAAATACGGAGAGAACAGCCCCTTAGCTTCTTCATTCTGTTCATTTGATTACTGTCTCATATAGTTGCTTCATCCTACCAATATCCAGCTTTCAGATTGTGCAAAATGGCTGTAGTTTATAGAATCTGGATAAGATAGCTCTTGTCCAGGAAATGATTTGGCCACTGGGGATGACTTTCAAAACGTCTGGATTAAGCAACTCATAGTAAGATCAATTTTTAGATATGAATAACCTCTTTTTCAGTAAACCCAGCTATGCTGGAGTATTTTGAATTTATTCTCTGTACATATATGTTTACTGTTGTCAAGACTCTGATAATAGTTTAGAAACTCCAAAAATATTTCTAAGACTACTCGACCTTTTCTATTATTAGTAACTACATCTCTGTTTTTTCATTGCTCTTCATATTAGTGTTCTCTAATCGAATATTTTATGTGAGAAATTGGGCATTTTGTGTGCTGGGGTTAGCATGGGATGAAGAGTGTTTGAGGCCAATTATTTGGGTAATTGTGTCAATAAATTGGTTAATTTGTGACCATTAAATAAAATGTGAACAACTAATAAATAATACGTGAACTAAAAAAAATTGAGATTGTGACTCACAATTTGTTAAGTTGAGACCGGTTATTTGATAATTTATGACCTAGAATAACTTATGACCAATTAATTTGATAATTTATGACTGTGAAATAAGTTGTAACATATAAAATTGTCACTTGTGGCTAAGAAATAAGTTGTGACTAGCTAATTTGATAATCTGTGATCGTGAAATAAGTTGTGACCTATATAATTTATGATTTCAGATTTGTGATCAAGAAATAAATTGTAACATATGAAATATGTCTTTGATTAATATAAGTTGAGACAAAAATAGGTCACAATTAGATGATAATAGGTCACAATGAAAGCATTACAAGGCATAAACATTTACAGTGAAAACAGATTTGGTTACAAAAAGTCACAAATAACACAAACTTGGTTACAAAGAATCACAGTTGGCACATAAAATGTCACAAACAGTCTCTATTGACTAAAAATTGGTCTCAAAAAGTCATTATTCACATATTAGATCAAGAAATACTGTTAACATAGACATAGTCACATATAGTTACAATTAAGAGGCACTAGTCACATATAGTCAAAATTAAGACAAAGTTCACAGACAATTGAATTTAAAAAAGACTTGGTCATAGATAATCACATTTAAAAAAGATATTTTTACAGACAGTCACATTTAAGAAAGATCTGGTCTTAGATAATCATATTTAAAAAACACATGATCACATAAAATCAAAATTTAGATAAACTTGGTTATTGACAATCACAATGAAGACAAACTTAGTTACAAACAATAATAGGTCACACATACCTGATCACAAACACTCAATGTTATAACAAACTTGGTCATATATAATCAATTATCAGTTCGCAATCACAAATTGAATTCTACTACCTTCCAAGTGCAAGAATGGGACAAGTAATTGTATAAAATGCTATTGATAGATATTGCCAACAAGCAAGAATGATGAAGTTTAATACACTGGGGAATTCACTCATATCGAGCCAAAACCATAAAAAGTACATTTTTTCCACGCTCTCACCTGAATTTGGCATTTCAACATCAATTATCTTCTGATTTTTATCTCCTAAATTTGCTCATATCGGTCGCCCCATGAAGACGGGGGCATCAATTGTCCTCATATTTGCAGGCAATCGATGGTTTAGATAGAGAAATAAGAGAGAGAGAGAGAGAGGAAACGGTTTTGGAAGTTACATTTTTGTGGAGGATAAATCTAAATGCTTTTGTGGAATATGCTTTATGTTTGATATTTTGGAAGTCAAAGGATTCTAGAGAGAGAGATATTATTTGATCGTGGGTGGAGAGAGATAAATTGTTGAAATTCCCTTTTTTGGGATTAGTTTTAAATTATATTTTATCCAAAAATCGACTATATTATCTATATATTATATACAGAACGGATCTAGAACCAGATTATAGGTCGGACTAATACATAAAAAAAAAAAAAATTACATATAAATTTTTTTTTCTACCTAAAAAAAATCCAGCACCCCCCCCTCCCACCCCACGCACATCCGTCCCCGATTATATATCTTTTTAAATGTTCTTCTTAGAGTCTAGTAGTTATGTATTTTTCCTTATTACTAAACCGGCATCAAAGGTTGTGGTCACTCAAGAATGGGTTGGCTACGTCATCAACAAACGAGTCCCAAACCCTAAAGTGAGAGAGTTTTGGTTTACCTCGTTAATTTTTAATTTGCAACTTTTAAGTTACTCGATTGGATTGGATTCGACCAAGTTGAATTAGATATAACAATAAACAAGATTTTAAATCCTTATTTTTATTAATAAAAATACAATCCCCTTCTTTACTGTACACCCAACCAAACTAGCTATAAGTATACAAGTGCATGACGAAAAGTTTCATTCATTGAAGTGCAGTGTGATTCTTGATTGAGAACTCAAAACGCTTGCAAAGTCCTCACTTCCAGTCGATACAATATCCTGAGTCGAATGCCAATTCGAAGAAAAACTATTCGATCCTGAAGACTTGGTTGTGTCATCCGAGGCCAACAGGCTAGAATTCTGAAATGGTGGTTGTTTAGCTTTAGGAATCACAATCTTGTCATCCCTTAGCATCCGAACTACTTCCGATATGGAAGGCCGTAATGACCTATGCGTTTGCGTGCACAGAAGCCCTATTTGAAGCACGCGTGATGCTTCCTCTTCATGAAAATCGCCCTTCAACCGCGAATCAATTGTTCGAGTAATTGTTTTCGATTTGTAGTTCTCCCATACCTGAGAGCAGAAATTTATGCCTTAGTGCAACTAGTAGCATATTTAGCTAAGAATAAGTAACTTTTTTTTTTTTACTTAAAATAAGAAAAAGTAAGTTATTCAAACATGTTTCGTTTATTTCTATTGTATCGAATGATTTAAGGCTCACGGATTGTAAAACGGAATCATTCACGAAGATGCTGTTTTTTCTGCCACACGCTATTTCTATGGACAGCACGCCGAATGCGTATACGTCGGCCTTCTCAGTTAAGCAACCTTGAACGAGATATTCAGGAGCAAGGTAACCTCTTCAAAAAAGGAAAAATTACATTTTTGTTCATTTCAGTATCGTATATAAATGAAAACCACAACAAAAAACATATGTTCATAGCTGGACACTTACACGGTTCCTGCAACTCCGGTACTGATATGGGATTTATCAGTACTAACACGTCGAGCTAGTCCAAAATCAGCTATTTTTGGCTCGAGATTCTCATCGAGCAGAATGTTACTGCTTTTAATGTCCCTGTGGATAATCTTAGCTTGACAGCCTTCATGAAGATGCTTAAGCCCCTCAGCTATTCCACAAATTATATTTAATCGCTTATGCCAACTTATCGGTTGAGCTATTTTCCTATCTTCACGAAACATTAATCATAAAAACTCGAAGCAATCTAAAACTCGAAGAAAATATCAAAACTCACACATACCAAAGAGTATTTGATCAAGATTTTTGTTAGGCACGAATTCGTACACGAGAAGACTATCTGGCCCTTCGACGCTACAACCGTAAAATTTTATGAGATTCTTGTGCTGAATCCCGCTAATCAAGTTGACCTCATTGAAAACTTTATCGGCCCATTGTGGTGTATTGAAGAACAATCTTTTCACAGCAACCACTGTTCCATTAGGAAGGGTCCCTTTATACACAGTGCCAGCTCCTCCTTGGCCAAGTTTGTTCGAGGGGTGAAAAAAATCCGTTGCTTTCTCGAGTATTTCGTACTTGAAGTTAAATTCCGATGATTGAAACGAACTGGGCATAACAACAACCTTCTTGCACTCTATGTACACGTTACACAATGATCAAATCATAAGTACATTTGAATACAGGTCGAAAATGAATCACACAGTTTTCAGATGAAAATTTACCTTGTTTTGTGTTTGAATATCTTATGTATCCAAGGTACGCTCCAAGAGCACAGAAAAGCACTAAGAGTACTGATACTGGGATCAATACAATGGTTAATGTAGATTCAGCATTGCCTATACATAAATACCAGAAGATGAAAGAACGAAAAAATAGTACGTACGTACAACACTAACTAAAAAACGACAAACTAAGTCTTGTTCCTAATAATGAATGCAATTATCAAATTCTTTGTCGATGAATATATCAAGAATTTTTGAGATCTTTTTTCCTCACCTCCATCATTTTCCAATTTTGCAGTAGCATTATCGAAGAAATTATGAGTCGAGTACCTCAAATAGCAACCGGCATTCAAGACTTGTCCTTCGGCGCCAGGCAAACATACATCTATCTCGACCCCGGCCTCATTCAAACACTGCGTGCATTTTTGCGCATCCAAAGTGTTCCAGCACTGACCTAATGCATATACATTGATCAATCCCCGTTTCACCTCGGTCGTCCCATATCCCTTGTTCGATGCAGCCGATAGAGTCTCATTCATTACTGCTGCATTAACTATGCTAGTAAAATCTGCTTTGATGTACTTATCTCTCGTTATATCAGTCGAATTACCGCACTTATTTTCCAATTTTCCGACCTTGTCGACACTTTCTCCCCAAAAATTATACTGTTCATACCTAACAAAACAACCTTCTAAATAAATCGATCCTCCAATGGCCGGAAGACATCGGTCGAGTTTCTTTTTCGCTTCTGTAAAACAAATATTGCAATCTTCTTGAGATAAATCCTGATGGCATTGGGCTAACCCAAAAATTCCCGGCCTCGGAGAGGAAATCGAATGTACTCCAAATCGATTTTTTTCAATTAAACCGGTTAGGGTTCGCATAAGGTTCACGTAATTGAAAACGAAATTCCCATCGGCACGAACATTGGAGCCTTTGCATAAAAACCCGGATACTGATGCTCGTGGATCCGAAAGGGAAGGTGAGAAAAAGAAGAAACATAATGAAATTATGATCAAAACCATTTTGAGAAATATATATGAAAAATGCATTGAATCAAAGTCTAAATTGGTAAGCTATACAATTATAAACACAATTGTAGGATACAAAAGGGGGAAATTCAGAAACAAAATTTTAGGTGCAAATCAAGAAAAAATTAAAATCCCAACTGGGTTTGTGTTTATCACTTTTCTTCCCTTTTTTTCCTCTGTAAATTTTTGTTTTAAAACAGAGCAAACAGATGATGGTGCTCTGTTCTAAAACAGAAAAAAATATAAAATGTGTTTTAGAAAATAGATTTTTATGAATGCATATTAATGAGTTTGTTTTGAGGAGTAGAGGAAGAAAAGAGAGGAAAAAATGAATTGAAAGTTTTGATCTTGTTTTTGCATGCATGCCTGCACGGAGATGATGATGTTTATCATATAGAGTTAATTTCACAAATGGTCATTGGAGTTTAAGTAAATATTTCGAGTTGATCCTTAAAAGTATTTATCTAACCCTCTTGGTCGCAAAAATTACTATGTCCTTGTTTGGCGTAACTAAAAATCAGATTTTTAGTAAATTTTGATAAAAAGGTGATGAAATATATGATTGAAAAGTTGGTAAAAACTATGAATCTCATTAAATCTGTAGTTAAAATTAATTATTGAATTTGACTTAGATTTTTATCAGATGTTTTAGCTACACAAAACATGGGCTTAACGTGTAATATGAACGGTTACACAGGTAATGAAAGCAATGCTATTGTCCAATCTTATGTGCGCCCATTTTCTAGTAACGACTGATGGGTACTCAAACTGGATCAGTGTAAAAATTTCCTAAATTCATATGTAAGGATTGGAAGTCACTTTCACTAATAAGGTGACTATTTGTTTGAGGTTAACTAACTTCAGTGATTAAATTTATTAATATAAATGCTTTAAAGACCAACTTGAACTTTTTCACAAACTTCATCGACTATTTGAGAAATTACTCTATGTAATAGCTATTCATTTATGTTCCAACACTTCAGCCGTTTGACCTTTTTCTTCTTATTTTTTATTGTACTCGACTGGATTGTCAAGGGTAAATGTCATGGCTCACATTTGTTCTTGGTTGTGTCATTAAATGTGATTTGTCTTGCGACTCTGCAATTTTAGTTTTTTTTCTGGAGCAGTCAATTCGATACCACTGGTTGGAAACACTAAATGCGTTTATTCTATATAAATAAGATAGTCGAATGTTTACAGAAGAGATAGGAATAAAAAGTCAACAGGTTCACACGCTTTTCCACTATTTCTTTTCTTTCTTTTGTTTCTCGAACTCAAGATCTCTCATACGTGTTTTGTTACATTCAAGAATTATTGTACTTAGGTTCGAGGCTGCCCCATAAAAGGTACTGCAAATAGCTGTGTTGGTTGGTTGGATGATCATACATGTAGAGGATCAAAAACTAGCATTCTGGGAAAGCAAGAAATATTTCCTAGAGATGGAATTCATAGTTACCAATCTATATATCAATTATATGACATTAAATTGCAAAGCCACATGATCTATTTAATTAGGCCTATTGAGTGTGACCATCTAGATTGATATTCTAGCATATTTGATATTATATGATATTATTCTTTTTATATTAAAGCTTGTGAAGCCACGAGCCTCAAGTACTCGACTCACATTTACACTTCTAGTCACACTTAACGGTCACATTGTAAACATTTAAAAGTAATTATGATATTTTTGGATTTGAGGATATTAATTTTTAAGGGTTTTAATATAATCAATAGAGACCGTTAGATTAGTATAAATTTAAGGGTTCAAATTATTTGTCAAAATTGTACGTCAAATATGTTGGTAGGGGGAACACTTCCCTTAATATTGTGTGCTAAATTTGTTAGGATTTATGTTGCAATATTAATCAACGATAATTTTTAACTCCACATTATTCACTTATTTACCATCCTCTAGGTGATTTTAGGGTCGAACTAGTAACTTTCAAAAGTGATTGTAGAAGTGATTTATTGCACTCAACGGTGACATGTATCCATTTCAAATGTCATTTTGCAATTACTGCATCTATTTAAGGCCTGCAAAATCTTTTTGTTTATGGCCAAGCCTGGCATTTACTCAGCTCCATTATTTATCAAACTTTTGGTGAAATTTTAATATTTTCGTGTGGGCTAGGTTACATATTTATGACTTTCAGGTTTTTTTATTTATGGTGCAATCAAAATTATGAAAAAATAATAATATGAAAATCAGTCTGGGCCAACACTTTAGCTAGAAAAATGGACATCAATCGGATTATATGATAAAAACATGTTACGGGTCAATAGGTGGAAGCGACACGT